CTTCCACTTATCGTGTTATCGGTAAAAGTGCACGGCGACGGCGACGACGGCGACGACGGCGACGACGGCGACGACAGACGCAGATGATGGCTATATGTACAGACACATCTGTGTCTGTACATAAAAATCAGGCTACTCAATACTACTTTTCTTTTCAATGCAGTAAAAGCACCAAAAATGCTCTATATACATGTAATCATAATTTTTATGTATCTGAAAGTTTTATAATTTTCGTTCATTGAAAAGATCAAATATTTACCATAATTTATGCATTTTAAACTGTGAACTGCAGGGGTGTGCTGACAGTAAAGAATTAGACTGAAACTCAAGGTGACTTTGACTAACCTGCAACTAAGTACTTACAAGTGTTTACTTTTACATTTTGAAGTAAGTTGTAGAGTGTACTTCTTATCTGAGAAATTTAAATGTGTCACTAAATGTCCTAGTTGGAAACCTGTTAATAAAGCTATAACAATTCCTATAGCAGCACAGTGATAGGGTACTTTCCATTGCACAATGGTTTGAATTGTGTGATTTTGAAAATGATTACCTTTGGCATGTTTTGGCTTTTATGGAGAATAATGTTAGCTCCAGGGAATTCTTTCTCAATAGCTGTCAGTCTGGTGAACAATCCTTGGTCTCTGTGCAGTTCTAGTAGAAAGAAGGTAAAAGATTGCTGGTACTGATATGAAATACTGATTGAAACAGCTGCAAAATCTCATCATCTACTCAAATGAAATGAGCACACAGCATTCCAAATTATACTGCAAGACAAACCCATGTTTGTCAATTCTGTGAAAAAGGGTTAATGAAAAATACATGTAATTTGAAAATTGTGCCATAAACAGGAACAATGCAAGGTACAAGTGATCATTTTCATTTCACTAGGTAGACAACAAAACACCTGATGCAAATATCATTAGATACAATGTAATTTCACCACATATGTTGCTGATAAGGTGGTCTGATTTTTTTAACAGACAAAATTCAAAATTATCAAAAATAATAACATGACGGTACATCAGTTTCTGTCTGCCAGAGGGATTTGGTTTCCATGTCCAGGTGTATTTGTGAAGAAGGATAAAGTTTTAATTAAAATGATGATAATTGGCAAAATGAATATTAACATCAAAGTATATTTCTCCAGCTAAAACAAATATTTATTACTTATTTTATAAGGTCCTAGCCAACATAAATGGCAGCTCTGTGATTTTACTTGAAAGGGTTGGGGTAAAAGATTTTTTAAAAGGCATGTCTGCATGCTAAAAACACAAATATTCCTCCTTGGTGTGGCCTGTGCAATCCTTACTCTTAATCTTCCCACCATCATACAACTTCTTTGCCAGATCATCCACCAACCCTGCCACAGCGTCTCTACATGCATCAAGTTCTTCGTGCGTAAAGAAATCTTCTACAACGACATAGCCCTGGAGAAATGTAAAAACTAAATTATTTTGAAATTATGCCAGAATACAAAGAAGTATAAGTAAAAAGTGAAGAAAATTTTCATGTGGCTTGCAGTGTTAAAAGATTCTAAATACAATAAAAATTGATAACAAATTGATAACAACCTATTCACTATAATATCTACCTCTTCAAAGAATTGTTTGACCTGCTGGGCAGTGAGCTGACCAGGTTTCTTTTTCTTGGGCTGAGGTGGGGGGACAGTGAAAATCTCAGGTTTTGGCTCCGTCTCCTGTACCCCCGGGAACGCATCTGTTGTCTGCCTCTCACTCATGGTGAATATGAGATGCTTTACTGTATGAAAAAAAATTACATTACGTTGTACAACATATTTTTACTTTGCCCTGTTTTACATGGGATCATACAAAATACCCGGTATGTTTACTTTCCCTTATTTTATACATGGGGATCAAATCAATTCAAAACTATAGATCCTATTAGGGCAAAGGTGTTCTGCACAATACATTCTTGTTCGTCTTGTCGGGCCCGTCTTGTCTAGATGCAGCTAGGTCAAAACAGTCCCAGGAGAAAAAGCCCAATTACGTCCAAACAGAGTAAACTCGACCGCGGTTAACTTTCTAATGTGAATGGCCTAAATAAGAAGTGATTAATTCACTATCGTAGGCCCTATACATATTGGGGGTCAAAGGGACTAGGCACGCGCATACTGCAAGAGCATAAAATAGGCCATGGGAGATTACCTTCAACCAAGGAGGATGGCAAGGATATAAAGAATAGAGGCAAAGTTGATACATAATTCTTTGACCGAATTTGCGGCTCTTTTAACATTATGCAATTTACACAATTTACAGCCAACTACAAACAAACTACACGCACATATCCTGTTACGATTTGGTGGACAATGATGTCCACTTACCTCAAGCTATAAAGTAGACAAGACTTAACACAAATCCTACGGTTACGAGACGAGTCGGGTCCAGTTTCTGCCAGGTTCTCAAATGTTAGGTCATAGCTGAGACAAATTCTCAGCGTTATCTGCAATCTAGTGACCTAAAATACCGTATGAATGCAGTGCCCTGTGTGAAAGTCGTTTTAGATATGAAAAGATTTGCTGCGTATACAACATATGCGGGCTCATAAAAATGAAAAGCCTTTAATTTCTTTTAGGCGGGCGAAATAATTTTTGTCCATTTTGCTGCAAGTGTGTGAGGTCATTTCATAGAAATTTCAATCTAGTGACTATGGAGTTTGAGTGAAAGCAGGAAAAAAATGTTAATCGCATATGCATCTTTCTTTCTTGTAGACTTCATTTGAAGTCGTTAATGAGAAATTGTCAACAGCAGACTGGGAGATGTATAGGCCCTAGATATTAACATTCCCTCACGCGATTGTCTTGTAAACACGTTGTTATGATGTCTGGTAAATCCAACTGACAAACAAAATCAATATTACCTTCTGTGAGAGCGCGTTCAGAATGGCGGTCTAACAGATCCACGGATCAAATATGACCGACCCACTTGAATGCTTGTTGCGTAATCCCGTCTCTAATCGGGAATTTTAAGTGGTTATAAGCTTTTTAGTGGGTCACCATATTTGATCCGTGGATCTGTTGGTCCGCTGCTCTGAATGCGCTCTGAGATAATCCAGTTTGAATGCTACCGCAGCTATCAAAGTCGCAAGATTTACACCCTATAGACAGCCTAAGGGTAGTAATCACTCCCCCAATTATCGCTCTACTGGTCCTACAAAAAATATGAACCACCTCGGACAAGGTATATACGGATGATGCCTGGCATGTTATTCCAGATCAACATACTGGAAGGAATAGGGAGCCTTGTAGAGCCAACTAGGAATGAGTTAGAGTAACAAAACCGGTGTGGCGTGATAGACCCGTGCCGTGACGAAACCGTTCTGCACATGCGCATTGAGGGTAGATTGAAAGAAGTAACTTCCGGTATGACGATGTCGTCCTAAGTAGGCGCTATGTTTGCACTGAACTATGATTTTCCAATTCATAATTCATTGGTTTTTGTCATGAGAAAGTACGTATTTGATAATCTTATTACTACAGTATACGGGGAATGTTGGGAGTGAGCTTTTGATCGTGACTGAACTGTTTTGCTCTGTGTAAAAAACGTGGCAGATCTAAGACTCGTAGTGTAAATCTTTTCACTCTACAATGTTCTTTTAATTCAGAGTTCAGTCATTTTCATTAAAAAAAATTGTGTGTTTGATAATACTACAACTTTCTCTACGGGGAAATGTTGGAAATGCATGTGCAGCTACGTACTGTAAGTCAACAGACTGCTACCCCCGCGTGAATAATCCGCCAGAACGGTTTATTCACGACGACGGTTTCTTCACGTGACACCGGTTTCAAAGTAAGCCCCATGAACTAAGCTACGTATTCAACGTCATTATTTTTCAAATATAATGCCAGATGGATCACAATTTGACAAAAAACGCAGTTGACGTCAGGGGGGGGGGGCAAGTTGGCCCCCTATACAAAAATGGCGTAAATATCCCACGTAAACGCCTTGTAATACATTTTTATACATTTTTAATTTATTAAATTGACTTTTGAGAGTCTTTGATGAATGAGGCAGATTTATTGAGGTTTCCGTACGTCACGTTGTAGGGGGGGGTATAAGTTGCAAGAAGCAGAATATCTATCAATAAAATTTCTTTTATTTTAATAAAGAATTTATTAATAATGGTATAAAGCAGGTTTTTAATGAATGAAAACGAATAATAAATTTTCGTTTTAAAAGAAAGTTACATATTCAGTTTTAAACCATTGAGTTTGTTTCAACAATGGTCTCTAGCTGTGTTGCGCGCAAAGGTTTGTGGGTAATATGAGGGTCCAACTTGCCCCGAGTCAAGGGGGCCAACTAGCCCCGGGTGCACACTTTTTATTTTAAAGGATGGCAGCCATTTATGGTGCTAGAATGAGCAACGATGATACGTCTCTGTGAAACTTGAAACAATGAGCTTCAGTTTGATGCCCTATGCATATATTATATTCGATCAAAAGCCTATGAAATAGATTTTTTAATCTCTTTAACAAAATTACTTTTAGGTGCAAAAATACTTTATTTCGACTCACCGCTTAAGTAAAANAGTTACATATTCAGTTTTAAACCATTGAGTTTGTTTCAACAATGGTCTCTAGCTGTGTTGCGCGCAAAGGTTTGTGGGTAATATGAGGGTCCAACTTGCCCCGAGTCAAGGGGGCCAACTAGCCCCGGGTGCACACTTTTTATTTTAAAGGATGGCAGCCATTTATGGTGCTAGAATGAGCAACGATGATACGTCTCTGTGAAACTTGAAACAATGAGCTTCAGTTTGATGCCCTATACATATATTATATTCGATCAAAAGCCTATGAAATAGATTTTTTAAATCTCTTTAACAAAATCACTTTTAGGTGCAAAAATACTTTATTTCGACTCACCGCTTAAGTAAAACTTTTTAACGTCCGACACTTCCTTAGCATTGTAGGCTACGGTCACTTTACAAGAATATGTGGCTAATTTTTTTACCTCGTAGTTACTTTGTCATAAATTGACGGGGGGCCAACTTACCCCGGGGTCCAACTAGCCCCGGTCTCCCCTACCTTGCCGCTTGACACCCCTGGTGCAGTGGTAGAACCCAGATAAGACCAGACGCACCGCTCGCCGTAGCTGTGACTAGACATTGATATGAGTGTCCTTTTTAAGGTGTATACCTCTTTAACAGTTGATAATTTGGAAAATATGGAGATTCAAATAACCCTTTAATGGTTGTTTCTTGACTTGGAATCAGCCACGTATTTTTGTTTGCTTCGTTAATGAACTGAAGTCACAAAGACATTAAAAGTAAAGGAATTTAATCTAAGTTTTCATCTATTGGTAAAAAAACGATAATTTATTAGTTTTACGCGAACCACTCAGAAGCAAGGGGTTTGCTATCTCACTGGGATGGTATTTTTATGGGGACAGCAATAGATTATTATGTTTCAAGTCCAAAGACTATAAATCAGCTTTACTGCCGTGTATTTTATAGGAAACCATCGACTACAATTTAAAGGAAATGTGCTTAGAAACCGCTTATGTATCTACATGTAGATAATGGTAGATAATGCAATCTAGATAATGCAATAGAGACTATGCTTCTTCCAACACAACCAACATTCATTGTTGATTAAAACTTTCCTTTCATTTGTGTGTCGGTCAACATTACCAAGGTCCAAGCCTTACGGAAAATGCGGCCAAAATGTTAAAATATAAACATTAAGAGGAAGATTAATTCTACGGCCTTTAGACATGCGCTGCAAGTAAATAAGAGGCGTGAATGACAGAGGTTCCATTGAAAAGGCTCCTGAAAATGCCTTCAAGGTTTTTTCAGTTCATCAAGGTTTGAAAATGTTGAAAATGTGTGTATTTCAGGGACAGTTAAAATAGCGACAAAGAATGGGTTTGTATTTTCTTTATAATTGCAACTGTCCTTGCTACTAAAGAACGCACGTTGGTTAATTACCCCATATTATATGTGACAAACACCCCTAAAACGCGTCAAACAACTGAAGCAACGGTTTTTTTGGCGGGTCCTTACTAACACGTACTGTATGCTGTCTACTATCCATAGAAATTAAAAGCAATATTATTAGTTCAAAGTTGAAAACTTCCAATATGCTGGGGAACGTATACCACACATTTACCACTTTGCAGTTAGTGGTTTTAATATCTAACAGTCCTGTAAAAGCAGGAAAATATTTTCTTTAACGCATATATCACGTCGTCGTAGGAATTCAACTAAATTTGTTAATGAGGGATTGAGATTGGAAAATACTCTGGATTAGTCACTGATTAGTATGCCTTCACGCGATTGTCTTACACGTGACGTTCTTATTGAACGTTTGTTTTAGGTAATAAGTGTACAGCACGACAAATAGCGCGTGAGTTTTAATTTAAACCCAGGAGAGCTTTTAGTGTCTCTCGTGCAAGTTTGTTTGATATCGGGTATCAAATCAAACTGTCATGGAAATGCTCTTAACCTGATTGTGGTTATTTCAAGTTTAAACACGACTGATGGGGTGAGGCAGTGCATGCTATTTCCTAAAAACTACAAATAAAGCAGTTACCATATGCAGAATTGTGTTGGTCGAATTGCAGGCATCCCATCATGTGCATGTGTTATAGCTACATGTACAACATCTCATACAGTTTGAACATTGTTTTAGGTACAAACCAAACAGTATGTCACGCACAGTTCTTTGATGCACATTGAAACTTAACTCTAACGTGTGATTTTTCTTAAAATCCTGCTAAAACCTAGCTTTAACTTGAGCAAATCTACCATTCGGTGGCTTTTAAATCCAATGTGGGCCTTCCTCTTAATTTTAACTTCTTCATAAACGGTCCTGGCCGTAATCGGGCTTGATAAGTATCCGTTCATCTGTTCATACATCTATGCCACCATTGCAAAAAAACTGTTCTCTTGAAGTTAATCCTGATTGTTTAATCTTAAAAGGAATAAAAAGAATAAACTGACGGTAAAACCGGCTGCTTAAAACAATCAGAAGATCTAGTCTTTACTTGTTGTAAATGTACTAGTAAATTAATAAGAAACGTTATGACTATAAAAATTAAATTCAACATAAGTAATGATGATTTTGTCCGGTTTCTTACACCAAGAATCAAGGTGCATACAACCTTTTATGAAAAAAAAAAAAAAGAACCGAGTCTGTTTCAATTGCGCACGTGCAAAGAACCCACGCGCATAAACGTGCTTCAGATTGATGACAACCCTTGTGTAAAGATAAGATCTTCCAGCAATTAGACTAGAGAGACGATACATATGTGGAAGTTAGTTGACCGGTTATTGGTTCAGAGTCATGGGGATTCGTGGGTTGTTGATAGTTTTAAAAAAGCTTCTGTTCTTGTATACTGCATCTCAGTGCTGTTTATATTTGACGCCTGGTCATTTTCCCCCTAGAACATACTGGAAATGGCCGTTCGAGGAAATCACATAGGGCATAGGAAAGAACATTAGGAAGCAAACAAGGTTCTTTAGTACGCGGCCAGTATTTATGAAACTATATGAAACATTTGACTCTATGAAACATTTAATTTCGTATTCATTTTACATTCGGTCTCAATATAATTAGACAGAGATTTCTCTTGTTTTATTTCATATTCACTGGGGAGTTTTCTTCGAAAAAGTACAGGTTAGCTTCGAAAGTTATGTGGTATTTGTTAAATCGGCTTTATTTTTGTCTTTAATTAAAACTTACTGAAGATTTTGTATTGCAAAATGCGGGTCAAGTTTCAAATTTGTTATTTTCTGATTACTTTTACTTAAGGTCACTTTGTGAAATTTGAATGCATTTAGGAATAGTTCATCCTGAAATTGACGAATAATAAAAAGTTTAGTAAAAAG